ATTTAAATAGTTTCTATACCAATCGACAGAGAAAGACTTGGCGCATCTAATGGCACCAAGAATATGTAAATTGGACAGCCCAACACCAAGAAATTTGAGCTCAAAGTTAGATTGCCAATGGCAACGCCCTGCCCCCTTTGCCATCAAATTTCTTGGTGTTGGGGTGTCCAATTGAAATAATTTTTATACCAATCAACAGAGAAAGACTTGACGCATCTAATCGAACCAATAATTTATGAATTGAACAGCTCAACACCAAGAAATTTGAGCGCAAAGTCGGATTACCAGGTGCGTATCGAACGGCAAGAAAAGTGTTCTTGCCGATAACCTTGTGATAGTGGAAAAGTGGCGCTATCTCTATTCTAGTCTATCTCTCGCCCAGAAAACGCGCGTTCGAGCCCGCTTGCAGCCTTCGTTTTTTTTTTTTTACGAAAACTATCATTAGTTGCCCTTGGTATAAAAGAAGATTTTAGTGTGTAACTTTTACAAAACTAAACGAACAAGAGACAAACATTGTTCAAAATCCCCAGCCTATTCCCTTATTTGATTCAGGTACGCAAAACCGAGCCCGAACGCGATTCGGTACATTGGTTTCCCCGGCGAACTCTTCATGAACATGCTCAAGTGCATGATTTTACCGCTAATCGCGAGCAGTTTGATCACAAGTGAGTAATCTACTAGATATAAAGGAGCTGTGTCTGTCTGTCTGTCTGTTTGTCTGGCTGTCTAACTGTCCGTCTGTCTGTCTATCTGTCTGTCTGCCTGTCTGTCTATCTGTCTGTATGTTTGTCTGTCTATCTGTCTATCTGTTTGTCTGTTTGTCTGTCTGTCTCCTCCGCACCCCGTGAGCCGTTTCAAATGCTCTATAATTAGTTTGGCTTACAATTCCATCTAGTTGTGCAAAATGTTTTTATATTTCCAAAAAACCAAAAGTGCCGACGTGGGCACGAGTCGAACCCGGATCGTGCGGGCTAGAGACAAATGCACGTGCACTTCACCATGGCCGAATGGCGAGCTAGCATCTCTCAAGCATGGCCGAGTGGTTAACGCGCGCGTCTCTCAAACGAACGGAAGAGAGGTCGTCGGTTCGACTCTCTCGCCGCCAATTCTTTTGCTTTTTGGTCCAAAATTGTTTTGCTGGTAATATGTATAAAAGGGAAGTGTCTGTCCGTCCGTCTGTCTGTTCTCGGCTCGCCGTGGGTCGATTTCCATGATTTTTAGTTTATTATGCTTAGAATTCTCTGCAGCTGTGCATCTCCTATTTCACATGAAAAGTAAAAGTCAGACCACAGCCGGGAGTCGAACCCGGGTCGTGCGGGGCGTAGACAAGCGCGCTACCCACTGCGTTAAAGTTGAAAAGATGAAAATTGAAAATAGCGAAAGTTTAAATACAAAAATCAGCAATCGATTTATTTTGGCAATTACTTTTTCTTTAGTTGCGTAGAGTTTTTCAAGGAAAAATCTACTATATAAAAAAGAGCATTGTCTGCTCGTCCGTCTGTCTGTCTGTCTGTTCGTCTGTCTGTCTGTCTGTTCGTCTGTCTGTCTGGCTGTTCGTCCGTCTGTCTGGATGTTCGTCCGTCTGTCTGTATGGCTGTTCGTCCGTATGTCTGTCTGTCTGTTCGTCCGTCTGTCTGTCTGGCTGTTCGTCCGTCTGTCTGTCTGGCTGTTCGTCCGTCTGTCTGGATGTTCGTCCGTCTGTCTGGATGTTCGTCCGTCTGTCTGCCTGTTCGTCCGTCTGTCTGTCTGGCTGTTCGTCCGTATGTCTGTCTGTCTGTTCGTCCGTCTGTCTGTCTGGCTGGTCTGGCTGGTCTTTTTCTCAGCTGTGTTTGGATCATAAAACCAAAATTGAATGCACTACGGGGGTCGAACCAGGATCGGGTGGGCAGTAGAGAGGCGCGCTCCCAACTGCGCCATGGCGACAAGTACCGCTGTTAAGCGGGTTTTTCGGCTGTACGAGCTGAATTCTAATGCTAATAGATCACCAATTTTTAAAAGATCTCCGTTTTCCCTAGGTCTCGCTTCATTGGACGGGAAAACCTCGGGAAAAGTGGGTTCGCGCGCGATTCTCTACTACATTCTCACCACAACGCATGCCGTCATTGTAAGAAGCGATTTTCTTTTAAAAACTTAAAAAGCTAATAGCTAGGAGTTGTTCTTGTAATGCTGATACATCCCGGGAATCCAAAGCTGAAAAGTGACTATAGCGGACCAAAGGAAGAGGTGGAAAAAGAGGACGCGACTGCAACGGACAAATTCTTGGATTTGATTAGGTGAAAAACGATTTTCTCAAAGGTTTTTTTCTATTTTTATTTGATTTATTTAGAAATATGTTTCCGGAGAATTTGATTCAAACAATGTTCGAACAACAGAAAACCGTTTACAAGGAAAGCTTTGACGCGAATGGAACGGTGCTCAAGAAAACGCCAACAGTTGTGTACACGCCAGGGATGAATGTGTTGGGTGAGTGGGTTGAGTGAGTGGGTTGGGTGAGTGGGTTGAGTGAGTGGGTTGGGTGAGTGGGTTGGGTGAGTGGGTGTTCAAGATCTCTGTGATCTAGATTTGTTGATGGGGTTCAAGATCTCTGTGATCTAGATTTGTAGAGTATTTTCTAGGTTTAATCATTTTCTGTATCGTGTTCGGCATCGTGATCTCTCGAGTGGGTGCTGCTGGTCGTCCACTTCGTGATCTCTTCAAAGCGATCGACTTGGTGATTACCAAAATGGTCACCATCATCATGTGGTTAGTATTTTACTAAACTTAAAGTAACTATCTAATAGTTTACTTATCTAATAGATTACTGTAGCATTTAAAATAAGTCTTATATTTGTGAAACTGTAGTGTCCCTTTTGAGGATTGGTCCAATCGGTATCGCGTCATTAATCGCCTCGAAAATCCTTGGCATCTCCGACCTAGGTGGAACAGTGAAAATGCTCGGCTTGTATATGTTAACGGTGATTATCGGTTTGTTGAACATTAAATATTACTAATAAACAAAAGCTACTGTAAATTTTGAAATTTTGACATTAAAGATACGCTACAGTTCTCTGTGCTCTTTAAGAGTCACAAAAACAAACAGAAAAATGGGTTTTTTAAATGAAAATTGGCTTTTTAACTGGCTGGTTTAATTAGCCGAATTTGAAACACCTAAGACTTTAAAATATCTTTAAGTATCTAGCCATCTAGCCAAGATTGGAAATCATTTAAAATTCACTAGCCACACTTTTAAATGAATTTTATCCCTATGCAACTTGCCAATTTCGACTCTTAAAATTAAATTTATAAAGAAATTAGGGAATTTAGTTTGTAAAAAAAGAAATTTCCCTTTTAATTTCAAGGTCTTCTCATCCAAGCTTTCGTCACTCTGCCAGCGATTTTCTTCATCGCCACTCGCTCGAATCCGTTTCCATTTCTGAAAGGATTGAGTCAAGCTGTGCTCACCGCTTTGGGCACCTCGTCCAGGTTTTCACAAAAAAAACAACAACAACAATCTAAAACCTAAATTATCAAATTCCCAGTGCTGCCACCCTTCCGATCACATTTCGTTGCCTAAACGAGATCGGGATCGACGAGAGAATCACGAAATTCGTTCTCCCACTTGGATCCATGGTGAACATGGTAATTTTTGCGTTTTTAAACATCGTTAAGCAATTTCCGTAGTTTTCTGATAAAAGAAATCTAGGACGGTACCGCTCTTTACGAGGCGGTGGCCTCAATTTTCATCGCACAAATGAACGGCTTGGATATGGGAATCGGACATGTGATCACAGTGAGGTGATTTGAATTTTAACTAAATTTTCAAAAAAGCTCGTGCTATGATAAAGCAAAAAGCTTACTTTGTTGAGCAAGGTTTTTCCAAAGCCAATATTTTCCCAATTCTCAATTAAAAGGCCGACCAAGCACCAGAAATTATGTTTGGACTAGTCCCAGAAGCTTACTTGATGTCCGGTTGGAATATCGTTGATCAAATTTGTGATTGGGCCGACTTGAGATCTTGAGCTTGAGCTTTACTGGGTATGATCTGGGACTTCCACAGCAAACTCTAGGCAAACTAAGAAGCCAGCCGCCGACTTTCCTTAAATTGTTTTTGGATGTTTTTGGACGACTGGTTTTAGAGCAGGCTTACGAGTCTGAAGCCCAAAAGAATCTTCTTATCTAGATCCCAAATTTCAGCATCACCGCCACACTTGCCTCGATTGGCGCCGCGTCGATCCCCTCCGCCGGTCTCGTCACAATGATGATCGTTTTGACGGCGCTAGACCTTCCCATTGATGATATTTCGCTAATCATTGCTGTTGATTGGTTACTGTGAGTGAACATTTCCATTGCCATAGCCAAATTGTTCAGTGACCGCTTACGAACATCGGTGAATGTGATCGGTGATGCTTTCGGGTGCGGTTTTGTGTATCATTTGTGCAAAAAGGATCTCGACGCACTAAAAATGGACGAACTTGAGAATTCGGAGATCGACGAAATGCTCAAACAGCATGTGAGTGAAAAAGGAACTAACGGCTACAGGTTTATTGTCTTCAAAATATCCGCAGAGTTTTGTAGCCAGAGTACTGAAGCTTATCCTAAAGTTTGGATATTTTAAAGAAAAATGAACTCTATCACCAACTTCAGGGTGTCAACGTCGAGGAATTCCACGGCGCCCAAAATCTCCAACGAAAAACAACAGCTGAAAGTGATTGCACAAGTAAAGCCACCAAACAAACGGAAATCGTTTAACCTGTCTATTTGTACATAGCATAAAAATGAACTCATAAAATTTATTTAAAAACAAAACCCGGATCAATCATCATCACAAAAAAATGTAGGGAGATCGATTAGAGGGGAAAATAAAGCATTTACTGTGCAAACAAGAGAGATAATGGAACGAAGCTATAGCTATACCGTCAGAGAAAAAAAAACATTATGGGTGATTTTAAAAAGCTTTTTATGTTCAAATGGCTGGCCAAAGTTTTTTGTTGCTGTATCTGGAGCCTTTCAGTGAATTCTTAGCGCTCATAGGTTCCCTCTTTGATCGTGAGATTTGCCTAAAAGTGGATCGGATGAAATGTTCATTTAAGAGCGGATGAAATGCTATATTTATACGATTATCTCACCCAGTTCAAGCTTTAATTTATTACTCCTGACTAAGTTGGCAAAAACCCTCACTTTGAACGGCTGTGTGACAATCGAGCGCACGTAGTTCTCCGACCACTCAACATCAGCCTAAAAGTGAAGACTTCGAATAAGTTCAAAGCTCTGACTACACATCCAAGAAAATTCACCCACCATTTCAGGCCAAATCATCTGCAAAAGTTGAGGTGGGATGAAAATATGAGCACACAGCGGATTACCGATGTAGAATTGGAGACGATTCACTGAGAAAAAAGTTTAAGAGTGGCTTTACAAGAAACTTTCCACGAGTGATTCCGAATTTTCCCACAAAAGCCTTATGCTAACGCCAAAAAAGGGAAAATTTGCTCACCAAAAGTCGTTCCTTGATCATCACCACGAATGACTGGGGCAATGCTATCGGCTTCGCGCATTCCAACGCCTTGGCGTGTGTAGTACATCTAAAAAATTTCATCAGGATCACATTTCAATAGATTCTACATATAATAATAATCCTGAAAATTTACTAAACTCTCCAAAAACCTGCCTGCATAAAGAAGAAAAACCCTCCGCAAATAAAGGCAAGCATCGAAAAGAAAAACACCTAGATTTTAGAGAAATCAAATGATATTCGGGAAATTTCCTACCATCGTTGATGTCAACAACATCAGAAAGCTCTCGTTGAATAACGATGAAGACACTTCGTTAGGATAAACAGGCCTGTGACGATTAGCGCTCTAAAATAGAAATAATAGAAAAATAGTTGCAACTGACGCTGAATTGGCTGAGGATCGGGTGCAAGTACTTCTGGGAAATGATGCCCTCACTGTAAAAACACAATAAAATAGCTTCCAAAATGAAACGAACTGGTTAAAGACGATTTGTGCAAGAAGATAAAGAAAAGTCGATGCTCCCCACGCTCCGCCGCACATCATCCAGTAGGTGCAGACGATGAAGTGACGCTAAATGTAAAACAATATTCACACAGCTCTGATTAATCACCATGTTGGCAACTCCAATGCACACTCCAAACAGGTAGCAATGATGATCGTTTCTCAATGAGCATTGTCCGCAATCCTCGCAATGCACCGAGCGAAGGGGTGCGTAACTAAAATAGACATGAAAATTCTATTCCCACTCAAATTCTGCTCACCATTGACACTTCTTGCACAGCTTCCACTTCCAATAACGTTTCACGGCGCTATCCCTCCTCGTGTATTCGTTCTTGTACTAAAAGAAACAAGATCTTTCATCAAAATTTGGTACTAATAAAGTTCGGGAAAAGGCACTTTGATCTGATTTAGTCAGATCGTATTTTTCGACCGTTACCAATGTTATTTCATTTTTTCTGGGGTAATCAAACTTGTTGGATCTATTGGTGATATTTTTAGAAAGTTTTGAACAATCTTTGAAAATATTTGGTTGAGCTAGCTGAAGTTACAGTGCCACAACGCTAGAAAATGTGGTCAGGAGTGAAATACAAAGTGAAAAGTATTCAAAAACACTCTAAAATATCATCAATAGATTAAGCGTATTTGATTACCCAAGAAAATGCAAAAGCAGACTAGAAAAAAGCGCGTAAAAAAGGTTTTAACCGGGTCAAATCAAAGTGTCTCCTCCTGAACTTGATTAGTACCTAAAATTTTAATATCCCACCTCTGCCATCCACGAGGATGAAATGCCGAGACGATGCAATTGATATTGGGGACAATTCTTGCTAAAAATTTCCTTGATAAATCGTAAATTTAAATAAAACCTTTGACTTTTGACCATCGCCCAAATGTTCGTGAGAACTAGAATCTAAAAAAGATTGTACTAAACTTAATAAAGCAAAGAGATGTACCTGCATGTAGTTAGCAACAATTGCGGCGATGATCTGATGATCGTAGAGATGCCAGAAGGAGTAAACGCCCAGCTGAGTGTTGAATATGGCTAAAATAGCAAAATCTAGAACCAGTCAGGAATGTCTTACTTAATCCAAAAATGATGATCGGTGGAAGAAAGACGCAACATCGCTGCAAGCTCGTCCACTTCACGTCAGTCATCGGCACAACATCGCGAGCTAAAATGAGAAAAATGAGTAAGCAAAAGTCATACGCATTGTAAAGCACAAAAGCCTAAGCCTAACCCGAAGCTTAAGCTACAATTTTGAAGCCTAAGCTTACAAATTTTGATACTAAAGCTTTAGTTTCAAGCCATTAGCTCGTTTCTCTATGAAACACTTTGCTAACGACAGCTGTGGAACTTGAAGCAACTTTTAAAACTATATTTTAGCAGCTTGTTACCTCATAACACACGTGTTTCATGGTGATTATCAGAAAAATTATGTAAATCATCTAGTAAAAACGCTTTCTTTTCGCACAAAAACAGAAAAAGTCTAGAATACAGCATGGAATCCACGTAAAGAAGTCAACTGCTTCACACAAAAACGATTTTATTTTGATAGTCTAGAAATTAACATAATATAGGATGTTAGAATGCACTAAACACCGTCAACTCGCACACCAAAAACGAAAAACTAAATTTTGATGAAAGATCTTGTTTCTTTTAGTACAAGAACGAATACACGAAGACGGACAGCGCCGTTAAGCGTTACTGGAAGTGGAAGCTGTGCAAGAAGTGTCAATGGTGAGCAGAATTTGAGTGGGAATAGAATTTTCATGTCTACTTTAGTTACGCGCCCCTTCGCTCGGTCTTATTTTGATAATCTAGTACTAAAAAGCCACAGAATACACTAAACACAGTCAATCTATACAAAAAAAAGATCTAGTTGCAATCTAGGAATTAACAACCTAGAGTCTGTTAGACTGTTAGAAAACACTATAGTCAACCTCTAAAAATGATCTTACTTTGATAAACGGCTTGTTGCTTTTCGTGATCGATGGTGATCGATGAATGGGCGACGAGACGCGCTCGCACTGACATTCCGTCGAACGATTGAGGCGACGACGATCGAGAAGACGTCGATGATGACGATTTCGTGAAAATAGACCGTGAACGACCACCAAAAACCGATAAATTCTGTTGACGATTTTTCAACATATTCGCGACGTATTTCCGACGTTTCCGCATGCGACTCATATTCAAATTTTGTCAATTTTATTGAATGCTGAAAAATGAAAGTTTTAAATACAAAATGAGCATCTTTTACCCATTTTTCTCTCAAAGCTTATGAATTTTTCATGAAAAAACGCTTTTTTCTCTTGTCTCTTTCTATCTTGTGCTTTTGTTCTGCAAATTTTAAAATCCTATTCAGGTTTAGTATGGGTTTGGGGTACTTAAAAATGCAAGCTTTATTAAAAAAAAGACAAATAGCTTGATCAGTAGATCGCTGTGCAGAAATTTGGTGTCTCCAAGAGGTGGATATCCGGCATGGAAGTGGTCGATGGGATTTGGGTTGTTTTCTCCTCGGCATTCACCTCAACCGACTCACTCACCATTCCCCGGAACGCCTCGTTCATCTTCTGGAAACTCCCAATACACCAAATTGCATAGATAATAGATTAGTTTTTCCTTAAACGAATGAAACTAGCGTGTCCTGAAAAGTCCGGCTTCTTCCTAGGCGCATCTTTTAGAAAACAAAAACCACTGGCTTAATTGTTGGGCGTAGCTTTCCCTAGCGAGGTCATCGTAGCCTTTCGAAATGAGATCTAGCCTCTGGGTCGCGTCCGTTTCCTTCCTATTTGCGTTGCTATTTTGCAATTATTCGCGTCGCATTTTTCGTCTTTTTTCTCCCTTCCCGAAATTATTTTTTTGGTCTGGGGGTTTTTTGCTTTCTTTCTCGGGGGGACTTTTGTTGTTTCATTTTTGATGCGCATGCCGTTTTTGTAATGGGTATTGTTGCATTTCGGTTCTTTACTAATAAACAGTAACGTTATAAATTCACTTTACTTTATGCTACCCTTCAGGTTTTAAATCCTGTTTAGATAACTGGTTTAACATTGTAGAGAGACTGGTTTTACTAACATTTGTGTCTCCATCGACGTAGTATCAATCCGATCCGTACTCTTCTCAAGAGTATTAATCTATTTGTAGGATACTACGTGTTCTTGTTACGTTATAAGCGCTTTTGGGGAAACCCTTTTAACCTTTTGTGCTATTCGGCCATTTTCAAGCAGAATCATCCTCGTTGATAAGGTTAAAGCGGGTCGCACCCCAAACTTCTGATTCATTTTTTAAGCTGGAAAAACTACCATAACCATCAAAAAAAAAATTATGAAACAAACAAATGTGTTTTTATTTTCTTCACTTCTGATCAAAATTTTGGCTCTTTTTTTATTGTTTACATTATTTTGTTTCCAATTAATGTTTTGTATTTTACAGATAGAGAAATGCCTCAAATCAACAAGAAACGGAAAACGGGGAAAGAAACTTATCGCATCAGGATGTCAGCATCAGAATGAGCAACAACCGAAAATTTAACAAGGAAAAAATGCGAAAAGTTAGATTGGCCAAGGCTCTCAAGCAACAAATGCGAAAAGTTAGATTGGCCAAGGCTCTCAAGCAACAAATGAAGCGATCAGCTCATGCTAGACATGTTTTACCTCTCCATATCGCCAACAATATTCGTAAACGATATTTGCAAAGAAACCTGTCTTTGCAGCATGGTTTGGCAATCATATCGCCTATTTCTCCAATTCAAACGTTGGCACTTTTTACTAAATCCAAAGTGACGAGAGATGCACACAGCATATGGAAAGGCCACAGGAATTTTTCCAAGTGAGTATCGTCTACAAGAGTTAAAGAAGAGGTTTTGGTCTAACGTTGAATATGTGTTCACTGGAGGGATTATCAAATTAAAGAATGTGCTTCAAGCTGTTCAATTCAGGCTTTCTCGCGTAGAAGACAGTGAAAAGAAAAGGATAGTGCTAATGTGTGACAAAGGAGCTGATACAATAAAGTTGACTTTAATGCTCCCGGACAAGGTTAAAAAACCAGGATCCTGGTTTTAGCTATAGCTATTTGAGGTCATCTTATGGACGTCTTTCAATAGTGGGCGTAGTATAATGGATAGTAGTACTGTCTACGAAACCTAGAAAAAAAATCTTTGGCGTGAGTTCAAATCCTTTAGCTGAAAAACTTTGATTACTTTGATTTACTTTGATTTTTTAAAAGGAATTTTTCATTTTGGACAAGCTTTTTATAGAAATCTACTAAAAAATAAAGTTAATTCCTCTCAATGTTTGAAAAAAAATCCATAGTGGTTAGGAAATTCGCTTTTTAAGTGAATGATTGGGGAGTGGGACAAATGCGATCTTTTTTTTGCGCACCCGGACATTTGCGCACCTTTTTTTCCGCACCTTGCCCATTAGCGCATCTTATTTCGCGTTTTAAAAAAGCTCTAAAAAGCTAATATTAACCAATTTCTATTCCAAGAGTTGTTTTTCTAGGTAATTTGAGGGTGTCGAATTCAAATTTTGACATATCAGAGCTTGTGGAAGCGAACGGACGGAGTTATACAAAGAGAAAAATCGACAATTTTCTGTAATTTGATCTAGCCGTTTTGTCTTTCAAATTGGTTCCACAAGCTCTGATATGTCAAAATTTGAATTCGACACCCTCAAATTACCTAGAAAAACAACATTTGGAATAGAAATTGGTTAATATTAGCTTTTTAGAGCTTTTTTAAAACGCGAAAAGGTGCGCTAATGGGCAAGGTGCGGAAAAAAAGGTGCGCAAATGTCCGGGTGCGCAAAAAAAAGGTAGCATTTGTCCCACTCTCAATGATTGTAACGAAACGAAGTGAACGATCGTAAGCGCACCTTTTAAAAAAAGACGTTAAGCAAACAAGATTACGGTAGCTTTCCTAAGGTAGAAGCTTACGGTAGAAAACACCATTTAAAAGTTTTCTAACTCTCTCACCTGTTCAACGGTTTTCTCGGCCCATTTCTTGAACTCTTCCAACTTGGCGAGATAGCTCTAAACAAAATTTTTTTGGGGAATCAAAGTTGAAATTGGAAACTAAAAGTTAAACTAATTGGGTTAATGGAAAAGTCCTTTCCAATTTTTTTGGGAGAGTACCTTAAATTTGTCGAATTTAGACGTTTTATAGCTCATCTTAAAGCTGAATTCAAGACGGATCGATTGGTAAAAACCGTTTTGAGATATCTCTTTTCTAAAAGTTTTTGCAGCTATTTTAGTAAAGGGCGGAAGAGCCAAAAAATGGCTGTTTTCACGTTTCGTTAGTTTTCCGTGCAGAAACCTAAAAAATCGGAAAGGATTTTTCCATCAACCCAATATTACAGTCAAATAAATAATTTTTTCCCCCAAACCTTGAGCTCTTTGATCTCATCACTGGACAACTCGCGAACCATCGCTCCATTGATGATCACTTTGTTGTTCTGAAAAATAGAAAGATTTTTGATCATTTAGCTCATCATCTATTTAATTCGTTTTCTAAAACGTGCTACTGGATACTGTACATTTTAGACTAAACCTTTGTCTAGACTAAGCCTTTGTTTAGACTTTTTTAGACTAAGCCTTACAGCCTTTGTTCGGTTATAGAAGACTGTTAAAATTTTAAACAACAGCAAGCAACAACAACAGCTAGCACAACAACAGCAGCTAGCACTAGCACTAAAAGCTTTCAAAAATAAGCTACAGTACACCTTATACTACTCTCAAAAGCAAGCTACAGTAGTAAACTTTACCTAGATATATTCTAAATCTATCTAAAATGTAGATTCTAGATACTAAATCTATTTAGAAGCTAAAGTCTATTGTACATGTCTATTGTACATGTCTGTTGTACATGTCTATTGTACATGTCTATTGTAATCTAAAGTTATCCAAACCTGTACGATGCACCCGGAAAAGGCGTACTGTGTGGTCACCTCATCCGAGCAAAATGACGGCTTCTCTGGAGCCTAAATGTTTCCTACAGTAAGCCAAAGCTAAATATCGAAAATCTAAGATCTAGGCCTAGATCTAACAACAACAATCTTCGATAACTAGCCAAAATTTCTTTTCACCTTGATCCTCTCGTCCAACAATGGTTGCACCTCGAACTTTGACTCTAGAAGGAAACAAATATAGTTTAAATGTATTCAGATGTTCAGATGTATTCAAATGCTCAGATGCAATTCACATAAATCTCTATATACTAATTTTAAACATCTCACCTCCTCTCTCCTTGTTGCGCAACATACGATTGAGTTGCTTCTCGATAGCACGCTTCACCAACTAAAAAGGCTATATTTTTGATAAAACTAGATTCTAGATTCTAAATCTAGTAGTTTCAATCTTTCTATTGTTACACTGTTCAATCTTTCTACTGTTCAACCTTTCTATTGTTACACTTTCTATTGTTAAAAATTTTTCACCTTGACATAGTTGTTTTTCAATGTCTGATACGTTTCAAACTCGTGTCTCTCCGACCAATTGAGAGTCCGGTCCTCGATCCCGTTCACGAAGAGTTTTCCGCCCTAAAGATTTCATTAAAGATGATGTCTGTTTTCTGAAAGGCACTTCAGAAAAACTATCGTAGCCTACTGTAGCCTATTGTAGCCTACTGTAGCCTGCTGAAGCCTACTGGAGCCTACTGAAGCCTACTGAAGCCTACTGGAGCCTACTGAAGCCTGCTGAAGCCTACTGTAGCCTACTGTAGCCTGCTGAAGCTTACTGGAGCCTACTGAAGCCTACTGGAGCCTACTGTAGTCTACTGGAGCCTATTGTAGTCTACTGGAGCCTATTCTGGCCTACTGTAGCTCAAAGGCTACAGTAATTCTATCCAGTAATTACAATAGTTTACAATTAGCTGCCTAGAATCTGATCTGTGCTCCTCTCTAATCCGTTTCCTAAAACGCGCCCTACGCTTAGAAAACGGATTACTTTAGAAGAAATTACTCTAGAACTTGTATATTTTGATTTTCTCCTCACCGTGACAACACAAGACGGTTCCAGAAGCGAAAACGTGGTGAGATAGGTGGAGCGAGCCGTCGCGAATTGAGGAGCCGCCTCGGTGAACGCCAACAACAAAACACCCGCCACACACCATCCAATCAACGTTTTCATTCTTTCTAAAAAATTTTGAGAACTTGTAGATTCTTAGAAATCGAAAATCTAGTAAAGAGCTTAAAAAATGGAGGGCGAATCGAAGATTGCTCCAAACGAACAGCCACTACAGATCTACAGAGCCACAGAACTTAGGGCAGCTCAAAAAGTCGTGCGCCACCGGGACCCGATCCGGCGACCTTTCGTTTACCAGGCAACGGTGCTAAATGGAAGGAGGATTTCTCCAAAAGCACAGCTGGGACTAGGGCAAATCAAAATACTGCAACGGGACTCGAACCCGCGACCTTTCGCTTATTGAGCAACTGTGCTAACCATTACACCACAACGCAATCGATCTCCCCCTGCTCCAAAGGGAGTTAACTGCACTCCTCTTAGCACATTTGCCATTTTAGAAAAAGCTATTTTCCATTTTCTTTTCTGAAAAAGCTACTTAATAAAAATTAACATTTAGAATAAAAATCCCTTAAGCCAGAAGGCAGGCGTTTATGCGGAAGCACAAAGAACGAACTGGTTATAGGCTATAACATTTCGTTCTTTGTGCTTAAAGTGCTTGTAAACGCATTTTTTCTGGGGTAGAAAGATAGAATTTGGAAAATCTATTCAAAAAAGACTTTTTGAGGAGGATTTTGAAGTGTTTTTTGTTTTGAAAAGATTTTTTTGAAGATTTGAAGATTTGAAGATCTGAAAGGAAAGCCTTTTTTTCAAATCAGATAACAAATCCATTAATGTATGAAAATTTTCAGAGATAAACCCTGAAACTCTTTCAAAAAAACATCACATTTTTTTTGCTTTTTCTTTATTTTTCAGAAAATTTATTGCCAAAGCTATTAGATATCAGATTATTGAAAAATCAAGAAATCAAACAAGACAAATCAAGGCAAGAAAGAAGTAAAACGTGAATAAATAATGTGAAAAAATGTAAAGAATACGTTTTCAACGGAATTTTGCAAACATTCGACATCTGGTGCACAGAAATTTGTAAAAGTAAAAAATGTACTTTGTGTACTTTGTGCTCACGGTTAAACGCACGATTTCTAGCACAGTGAAGAGAGGAATTCGTACTTTGGGCTCACCGTTAAACACACGATTTCTAGCAGAGTGAAGAGGAATTCGTACTTTGGACTCACCGTTAAACGCATGCTTTCTGGCACAGTGAAGAGGAATTCGTACTTTGGACTCACCGCTAAACGCATACTTTCTGGCATACTGAGAAGAGTTCTCTCAAAAGGAGATTCTCTCAAAAGACTTTGCAAACTTTTTCACTGTGCCAGAGAAGAGTCCCATGTGCCAAAGGGTGAGCGTTTAATGGTGAGCACAAAGTACAGACAGAGATTTACATTGATTTCGTTAAATATAGCTAAATCTAGTCATTAACATCAAGAAATATGTTAAATTATAGTAGATTATGGTAGATTATGGTAGCTATTAGTTTAATATATAGCTGTGCAGAATTTTGGCGCTTCTGGAGCTTCGGGTGGTGGTTGATCAGCTTCCGGGTCGACGGTAGTTGGCTCTAAATGCGATGCGCCACTCCGACCGCCGAAGATCGCCGAGAAGAAATCATTTCCGCCGAAGAGGCCCTTCATTTGCTGAAAATATTCATCATAGTCATAGTACTGTAGTTTCCTGTAAAGTTTCCTATTACTCTTTTAGAACTTTTTCCTTTAAAGGCTTGGCTAGATACTAGAACATAGCCAGTTCCTAAAACATAGCCAGCTTCTTTTCCATAACTTTTAAAACTGTAACTTTAGTCTGGAAGCTACAGTAACCTTGCTCTACAGTAACTTTACAGAAAGCTACAGTAAGATGAATGAAATTCCAGCAGCTACTGTAGCTTGACTATAGCGTGGCTTACTGTTTAGAAAGTCTAAAACATACCCTTTCCCTAATTACCGTAAACTTGTCTCTATTTTAAGCAATCTATCCACTTTTTCGCTTTAATTCCGCTCAAAAAAGATACAAAAAGTGAGTTGATTTGATAAAAATCGAGATAAGAAAGAAAATGACTCAAAAAGAGTACGATCTACTTACTAGTTACCGTACTTACTAGGTACAGAGCTACGTAAAGCTGTGTCTTTAGATCTTTGTTAAGTTTAAAAAGGTTGGATTTAAATTGGATTTAAATGTGTTAAAGATTTGCATAAAACTTTTTCGTCTTCCTACAACACCTTTTGCATCTGTTTCTGTGCCCATTTCTGGTAGACGGTCATCTTTGCGTCGAAGATCTGAAAAAAGTGTGAAAGTAAAGTAAGATTTTTAGAGAGGAAATTGAAATGTGGAGTTTTTTGCTTGGTAATTGCTCTAACTACTGAGCTACAACAGCTACTGAGCAAGAGAAGAAAGAGGAAATACAAGGAGAAGAGAAAGGAAGAGAGAAAGATGGAGAGGAAGGAAGAAAGAGAAGGAAGAAAGAGAAGGAAGAAAGGAGAAGAGAGAGGAAGGAAGAGAAAGAAGAAAGAGAAGGAAGAAAGGTCATTAGTTTGATCAGAAAGTTTTACCTTGAGTTGCTTGACTTCATCTGTTGTTAGATCCCTAGCGTACTCGCGCCCAATATAGACTTTGTTGTTCTAAAAAAGTCAACTGAATAGAGTGATTTATTTTCTGAAACATCTTCTAGACTACCGTAATCTCACCGGCAGTTTCCATTCAATCATCCCAGATTCAATGAGATGAGAAAATCACAGAGAATCACAAAGTTTAGTTAAAAATTGTCAAATCGAATGAAAACTTTCGGTAAAGATGAGGATATTTTGCATTAAATAGTTTCATTTTAGAAGATAACTCTAAAAGATAAAAGATTTAGAAGATAACTCTCTTTCTAGCCTTCAAGATAACAAACCTGAACCATACAACCGTCAAAAATGTACTGAGTTGTGTCCTCTTCTTTGCAGAAAGATGGTTTCTTAGGTGCTTTCAACGATTCATCTTTCGCCACCTCATTCTCATCATCGCGAGTCACTAAAAAGTACAATGTACTGGAGATCTTGTACTGAAGATCTTGTACTAAAGATCTTGTACTGGAGATCTTGTATTGGAGATCTTGTACTGGAGGGATTGTACTGGAGATCTTGTACTGAAGATCTTGTACTGAAGATCTTGTACTGGAGATCTTGTACTGAAGATCTTGTACTGGAGATCTTGTACTGGAGGGATTGTACTGGAGATCTTGTACTGAAGATCTTGTACTAAAGATCTTGTACTGGAGATCTTGTACTGGAGATCTTGTACTGGAGATCTTGTGTACTTTGTGCTCATCATTAAACCCTCACTAGCTAGAGCACATTGGACTCATTTTTCGTTTACCCGAAAGCATTTGACCATAAGCACAAAGTATATTGGGTGACTGATAGCTTTGGTAGCTTTGGTAGCTTCGGTTAAATCTAATCATCATATAAAACTATAATTATCTTAAACTACAGTAATTCTACTAATCTTATAGTATTCTTATAGTAGAACCATATTGGAGCCATATTGGAGCCATATTGGAGCCATATTGGAACCATATTGGAACCAGATTGGAACGATTTAGATCTTATATCATTTTCCTATAGAAATCTCATAGTTTTCTTAATGTTTTCTTAATATTTTCTTAATATTTTCAACAATTCCCTTAACTTACTGTCATTTCCCGAAAATCGCTTCTTCATCGAATTCCTTTTCTTCTCAAGCGCACTCTTCACTTGCTAAAAGGCTATTTTATTAGGCATTTAAAAAAGGCTTTTGTTTCTAAAGGCTTTCCTTTCTAAAGGATTTCCTTTCTAAAGGATTTCCTTTCTAAAGGCTTTCCTTTCTAAAGGATTTCTAATCAAAATACTGTACTTTTCAGTGAATTCACCTTTTTATAATCGGCCAATTGTTCACGATATTGCTCCAACTCCGACATTTCACTTTCACTCAACTCACGTTGCTTAAAGCCATTCGCGTACAAGACGTTATCCTTAAAATTCGAAAATATAACCAATTTGGTAGAAACAGTAATCTTTTTTCAACTTTGATCTTCAACTATCGATCTTTCCTTTCGATTCACTTGGAATCGGGTCAAAATTCAATAAAAAAATGTGGAAACGGTGACCAAAAAGCTATTCATTCTACACTACCGTAGTCGGGCCTGGTTTTTTCTTTCCCGACTCGACTGTACTTTCTTTGTAATTTCGAAGATTTCAAAACAAAACCAAACAGAACCAAACTTTTAGACTGATTTTTAGACAAAAATCCAAAGAATGGTGGACGAAAAAGTACAAAAAAAAGGCCTATATTGCTGAAAAAACCAGGCCAGACTATGGTAGCTTAGAATCAATAGCTTTTTGGTCACCGTTTTCACATTTTTCATTGAATTTTGACTCGATTCCAAGTGAATCGAAAGGAAAGATCGATAGTTTTCCCCCGAATTTCTCTTTGAAAACCGATTACTAAGGATACTTTGAGGTTTTTTTCTCGAGAAAATCTTTAACTCACCGTCACCACACATCCTGTCGTTCCACCAAGGCCTGTGGTGGTCAATCCGAGTGCGGCGAAACGTTTTTCCCTGGGTGCTCCCGAAATACACACAGCTAGCAAGCCAAAAAGTACGATAGAACGCATTTTTCTGGAATCAAATAAACTATAATTGATTTATTTATTTATAAATGATCTATGAAGGATCTATGAAGGATCTATGAATGTCTATGAAGGATCTATGAATGATCTATGAATGATCTATGAATGTCTATGAATGATCTATGAATGATCTATGAATGTCTATGAATGATCTATGAATGTCTATGAATGATCTATGAATGTCTATGAATGATCTATGAATGTCTATGAATGATCTATGAATGTCTATGAATGATCTATGAATGTCTATGAATGATCTATGAAGGATCTATGAATGATCTATGAATGTCTATGAATGTCTATGAATGATCTATGAATGTCTATGAATGATCTATGAATGTCTATGAATGAGCTATTAAATGATTTATTAGGTTGTCCAGTTATGAATGCGCGCCTGCTCTTGAACAGCTTACCTTAGGGCTATACAATTTTATCAAACCCTATTCTCTATATGTTGTTCAAGATTTCTTATTTATTACAACTTTTCGTGTTTTTGACGTTAAACTAATTCATTTTTGATTTAATTTCCGTGTTTAAATGACCGAGACGAAGTTTCGTCATCGTGCCAGTCTTTGTTATGACTTCAAATTGGGCAAAAATGCCGTTGAATCCCATCGAGATCTCTGCAAAGTATTTGGCGAAGATGCTATTTCGGTCGCCGATGGTTTCAACGATTTCGAGAAGGAAATGAATCTTTGGAAGACGAAGACCACCAACGACGACCTCCTGCGATCGATAATGCACTACTGAAGCAGGCGATAGAAATGGATCCTCGACAAACGACGCATGAACTTGCAGAAATCTTTAGAGTAAGCCCTCAAACCATTTCCGAGCATTTAAATCAATTGGGGAAAACAAGCCGACAAGGGAAATGGGTCCTCATCTTCTCAGCAATGCCAATAAAGCTACTCGTGTCACTATGGCGGGTATTCTTCTTCGTTTGGCAAAAAAAATACTGGGTTTTACGATGAAATCCTTACTTGCGATGAAAAATGGATTCAATATGATAATTCTACACGAAAACGGCAAAGGCTAGAACCTGGTGTGGAGCCAATACCAACACCAAAACCCGACTTCCTTGACAAGAAAGTAATGCCTACTGTCTGGTGGAATTCCCAAGGCATTGGGTATTTTGAGCTGCTTAAACCTGGGCAAACAATCACGGGTGAAACGTATGCACAACAATTGGAACGAGTGAACAATGTATTGCTACAAAAAGGCCTTGATCCTTCAAACATAAAGTTCATTCAAGATAACGCCCGTCCACACGTTGCAAAGATTGTTCAGGAAAAACTCGAAGAGTTGGGCTGGGAAACTCTCCCGCATCCGCCATATTCTCCGGATATTTCTCCTTCGGATTACCATTTATTTCGCTCAATGCGAAGCCACTTGGCCGGAAACAAGTTCAAAGAAGCTCAAGAGGTCGAAAAATGGATAGCCGACTTCTTTGCCTCAAAACAAGCCAATTTTTACGCGGAGGGAATTCATTCTTTAGATGGAAACAAATAATGTTAACAAATGGTGAATATATTGTTGATTGAGCTGTTAAACTGTTGGTTTTGAAATAAAGAGTTGTTATCTTAAAAACGCGCATTTATAACTGGACAACCTAATATAAATGATCTATGAAGGATCTATAAATGATCTATAAGTTATCTATAAGTGATCTTTTCAATGATCTATTAAATGTTCTATTAAATGTTCTATTAAATGATCTATTAAATGTTCTATTAAATGATCTATTAAATGATCTATTAAATGTTCTATTAAATGATCTATTAAATGATCTATTAAATGTTCTATTAAATGATCTATTAAATGTTCTATTAAATGATCTATTAAATGATCTATAAATGATCTATAAGTTATCTATAAGTGATCTTTTCAATGATCTATTAAATGTTCTATTAAATGATCTATTAAATGTTCTATTAAATGTTCTATTAAATGTTCTATTAAATGTTATATTAAATGTTATATTAAATGTTATATTAAATGTTATATTAAATGTTATATTAAATGTTCTATTAAATGATCTATTAAATGATCTATTAAATGATCTATTAAATGATCTTAAATCTACAAAGTATTAAAACAATCTTTTAAACAAGCGCAAGGAATCTTTTGTAAAGAAAATAGTGACAAAAGGAGTCAAAAGAATCAAAAGGAAAGGTCACAAGGATTCATAAAAGAACAAGAAGATCAATTTGCTTACAAGTAACTTTTTATATAAAAAGAAATGTTTGCCATACGGTAATTTGTATAAAATAATGACTAGAGTAAACTTAAAAACAAAAAAAAAACAAGAAAAACAAAAAGGAAACAGTTAAACCTATAACAATATAGTTAAATAAGCTTCTATTTTTAAAAAAAAACAAAGATAGATATTAAAAAACTTAAATCCTAGAAATCAAAACGATATTTGAATTGGGTTCATATTTTGAGTGAATCACAGCAAAGCAATTGTGGTTGGATCTGGGATTTGGTGAAAGGGGAAAGGGGGACAGTGCGAGTGTATGTGGAGAACCAGTCCCCTGGATAGGAGAAACTTGGATACCCCTTTCCCCCCATCCAACCCATCGAGGTATCGAAAAAAGAGAAGTGTGTCAGCACAAAGAGAAAACAATAGCTCGATAAAGCTATCGGCTTAATGAGCTGATATTGAAATTGCAGCTGATGTTGAAATAGACTTTATTTCGTGTCTCTAGGAAGGTTGTGGGACATTTGCTGCCCCTTGGCAATCCAACTTGGCATTGGGATATTGGCAAATTGGCATTGGCAATCGAATTTAACATTGGGATATTGGCAATCCAACTTTAAGGTCAAATTTCTTCGTGTTTCGTTGTTCAATAGAAATAGTTTTTCTACCAATCGACAGAGAAGGATTTGACGCATCTAATCATACCAAAGAATTTGGAAATCTGATAGCCCAACACCAAGAGATTTGAGCTTAAAGTTAAGCCAATGGGAAAAGGTACGGAAGAGGGACGATAACTCTTTAGGAAAGTTACCGTAACCCGATAGTCAACTATCTTTTAAAATGCAAGCCACAGCTTCCTAACTATCATCTCCTTCAGTAATCTACTTCAAGAAATCAATTTTTATCAAAAGTGTTAGCCTAGCTTTTGTTTTCACATGGATATCGAGATTTCCGAGCCTATCAAACCAGTCCTATCCCTGGATCCCCCTCTCTATCCATAAATTCCATCCAAAAACGCTCATCCAGCTCTCGGGGAGATGAATGAAAGCTGAATGATTGCATATAAGTGAAAGAGAACTAAAAAACAATCCAATATGAGTCATCAATGTGAAAAAAATGTGGATTTTTAAGTTTTTAAGTATCTCTTAAATAGTTATAAATACTTTACCTACAGTAATCATTCAAACTGACTTATCGTTCAAACTGACTTTGTGCAAACACGCGACACAATCACTCTGACACAATCACTTTGACACAATCACTCTGACACAATCACTCTGACACAATCACCCTGACACAATCACCCTGACACAATCACTCTGACACAATCACTTTGACACAATCACCCTGACACAATCACTCTGACACAATCACTCTGACACAATCACTCTGACACAATCACTCTGACACAATCACTCTGACACAATCACTCCGTGCTGGATATGAGTCAAAGAGAACAAAAAAGCTATTCAAGATGGATTGGAGAGCATAAAGCAAATCACTTGATTCCTTTTAAGGCCAAAACTTGTTTAAACTTTTCTTAAAAGGTCAAGATATTCAGCCAATAACTTGTTTAAACACAGTTTTTCCCATGCACTAATCGTTTTGTTTGTGATTGTTTTCAAAACGATAGAAAAATCGAGAAAATCGAGAAAATCCTTCACTCGTCACTCCATCAAATTCAACGAAAAGTTCAAGGACATTCGTTTGGATTTTCTGTAAACATCTACCGCAAAAAGAGGAGTTTCCAGTGAACTATAAGTGATTTATTTCGGGTGAGGGGGAAATCGTGCAGCACTATTTTCTTCTAGGTTCTATTAGGTACATGCATAAGAAATACGGATTTCAACATTTTCCTAAAATTTCCAACGATAGAAACCTGATATCGATGAATGTTATGTTTGAAAGTTGTTACTATTTGAAAGTTGCAAATCTCCTCTACAAAATCAGCTAAAACGTGTTTCAATTGATCGAAGCATTGAAGAAATTTCGAAGCCGAAATGCGAGTGACCAAAAAATGAATCGAGTCACTTTAGGGACAAGTTTAGTGTCATCGAAAGGAAAGTTTTAAGAATAGAAAACTAAGCTTTAAGAATAGAAAACTAAGCTTTAAGAATAGAAAACTAAGCTTTAAGAATTGAAAACTAAGCTTTAAGAATTGAAAACTAAGCTTTAAGAATTGAAAACTAAGCTTTAAGAATTGAAAACTAAGCTTTAAGAATTGAAAACTAAGCTTTAAGAATTGAAAACTAAGCTTTAAGAATTGAAAACTAAGCTTTAAGAATTGAAAACTAAGCTTCGAGAATCAAAAAGAAACTTCAAACTTATTGTGGTTATCTAGAAGCCGTCCAACGTTGATTGAGAATTACGCGTCGTCGCGTCGGCACTAAAGCTCTCATTTCTTAGCTTACTGTTTGAAAGTCCCCCCTATAAAATATGACTTCAAAAGGGTTTTCAAAGTAATTTAGACATTCATCTAGATGATTGCAAAAACGAGAACATACACGTGAACATCCACACACTACGTAATGGGGTTACGGGAAAAGGATCAGCTTTCCAGGCTTTTGTCCGATCCCCTGTACTCGCCGTTTTCACGCTTGTTGAACAAATAGGACAAATAGAAAATCGGGTAATGCTTGAATGGATTGAGAATCGCTTCCCTTGCCAATTTGGAAAGAACTCCCGAAATGCTATTCACTTATAGAATTAGATTCGATTTTCAAAAATCCATTAAATGAAGAAAAAGGAGAAATGAAAAGAAATGAAAAGAAACAGATTACACCAAAGTTGATAAGCTAGGAAGCTAGGAAAGGTTTTTGAAATGAAATGGAAATGAAATGAAATGAAATGGAAATGGAAATCAAATCAAATCAAATGGAAATGAAAATGAAATGAAATGGAGAGCGGAAATGAAATGAAATGAACTTGGATAACGGGAATACCAATCTGAGCTATCATTTTGAAGTTCTGGCTATCAGTTTAAAGTTTAGAAACTGTTTTTTTGCCTTTAAATTCCCTATTTAGGTAGATTTTGTTTGTGTTTACACAGTTGAAAAGCAATTTTTGCTTAAATTTCAAATTTCCCAGTGAAAGATAGCTTTAGATTCATTGCTTTAGAGAGATTTTATGCGAAATTCGAATAGATTTAAATATTGGGTTGGGGAGAATGAGTCGGCGCCGAACTTTAAAGGGACTTTTTGCACACATAAAGCCTTCTTTAAACATACGTTTGGTTTCATCAAAAGGATCCACTATTTCTCTACAAAATCACTTTTGAGAGATTCCACAAAGCTTTTCTTTCGTGGAGTTTATGAACTTCCAAACGCAGCTGGTTAAAATGGCAAAGAGTCCGACTCATCCATTTGAACAGTTTCTTTCACATAAACCTTCTTTGGTGTTTATATAAAAAAGATAGAGCACATTCAATTACTTAAGTTGCCAAATTTGCAGGAAGATCCCACCAATGGTTTTTTCTAGATGACAATTTGTAGTTTTTGTGGAAAGATGACCTTTTCTTGAGCTGAGACGATGTTTGAGTTTTCTTTTAAATGTCATTTTGTAGAGAATTAGTTAACCATTCTACTCATATCAAACGCATATTATTTGACGAAGTCGAATTGAAGTTTTAGACATTTTTTTGATTTTCGGCGCCGACTCATTCTCCCCAACCCAATAGATGTTTGTGTTTACACAGTTGAAAAGCAATTTTTGCTTAAATTTCAAATTTCCCAGTGAAAGATAGCTTTAGATTCATTGCATCAGAGAGATTTTATGCGAAATTCGAATAGCAGCTTTGAAAAACGAGTTGAAAGACACTTTTCTTTTGATCAACACCGACTTTCACGTGTTTGTAGACTCGACGGCGTTTCCGAGTTCACACTTTGCCGAGAACGTTGGAATGAGCGCCTCTGGAAATGATTGTTTTATTGAAAAAAAAAGTTTTATCGAAGTTTTTAGGTCAATACTTAATCTTAATCTGACCAGTAAAATCTTCTTGACAACTTTGGTTATGTAATACTTTGTGAAACTTTGATTTGGTTATTTTTTGGCTTAAATTTAAAAATAAACTAAACAGGGTGCTCAAGAATTACCGCAACACACAAAAGGCTCGGCTTTTAAAAACTTTCTAAAGATTTTTAGGCGTTAAAAGATTGAAAACAAAAGATATTAAGTCTATTTCTTTTTCTAGATAGAACAAATTTTCTTTTATTAAAGTAGTCAAGTGTTTTTAATCATTTTTCAATCTAAAGGGTGAACAAGAATTACCGGAACACACAAAAGGCCTTCCTTTTAACCAAATTTCCAAACCATCTCGAAAAGTTAACTTAAATAACCTTATTCAACATTTAACAGTAACAAATTAACAATTAAATTCGCCTCCATCTGCATTCAGACAAGCCTATAAACGTTTGGGAAACGCGTTGACCGTGGCGAGTACCGTGGCGTAGGCATCATCGATATCCCGTGCTTTGATCAGCGCTTTCTTCAAACTTTCGATATTTTTATGTGGTTTTGTACATTGCCCTGGCTTCAAGAATATTCCAGACTGAGTAATCCAATGGGTTAAGATGAGGGTGAGCTGGGTGGCCACTCAGAAAGCGAGATCAAGTCCGGGAAGTCCGGGAATCGCTTGCCCTTCGCAGCGGCTGATAGTAATTAAGATTTGTTCTTCTTGTACGGCTTCATTTTCAGCTTTTTCTTGAACAAGAACACTCCAGACTGAGTAATCCAATGGGTTAAGATGAGGGTGAGCTGGGTGGCCACTCAGAAAACGAGAGCAAGTCCGGGAAGTCCGGGAATCGCTTGCCCTTCGCAGCAGCTGATAGTAATTAAGCTTTTTTTCTTCTTGTACGGCTTCATTTTCAGCTTTTTCTTGATGATTGTGTTGGCGGAGCCTCTCTTCAGACCCATTTTTTGTGTCATTCTGTGTCAGCCGATTGGTTAGGGTTTAATCTTAGACGATCGCGCACTTTCTTGACATTAGCCGGAGTAGCCGCTGTTCGTTTTGCACCTCTTCGGAATCGATCGGCGATCAGAAACTGTGCCCAGAATTTCATAACGTTGAATGGTTCGAGAAACGAGACTTCTGGGGGACATTCAGGCGCTTTGAGATCTCGCTCGCCTGAACACGCTGCCGCTTGAGCTCAAGGATCGATTGTCGATCCTTGTGGAGACGCTTTCACCATTCCTGAAAACAACCGGCATTCAGACAAGCCTGCAGACGTTTGGGAAACGCGTTGATCGTGGCGAGTACCGTGGCGTAGGCATCATCGAGGGTATCCCATGCTTTGATGAGCGCCTTCTTCAAATTTTCGATTCTAATGTTTTGAAAGTTAGTAATCATACCATAAAATAAGAAAAATGCACAAAAATCATAAAAATAGGTAAGCAAAACGTGAAATTGGGCTCATAACACGTTGCAACGCGTTGTCGTTGTCGCGGTAATTCTTGGTCACCCTGTATTATCGTCATTCGATAGCCCATCTTCTCCTCTCAAAAACTAGTATAAAGTTATCGAGAAGTTTTTACAAAATAACGAATAAAATGCTTTAAAACGACACTAAAAGTGGATTGAAATTGGAATGGAATGGATGGAATGTTCAGAGCTCAACCTCATCCTCTTCTCGATTCGACCACGCGTGAAAATCGATGAACAACACGTAAAGCCAAGCGCCGACAAATCCACCAATCAACGGCCCAAGGATTGGCACCCACCAGTAATAATCGTCTTTTCTAAAAGTTAAGCTTTATTCCATAACTGTCTAGTACTTGCTTTGGGTTTTGGATTAATGACAGCTCTCAAGCTTAAACTCAAACTCACGTCCAAACTCCTTTCCCATAAATGATGAACATGAACAAACGAGCGCCGAGATCTCTTGCTGCGTGAATTGGATAAGCGTCGTTTTGAGCGAACGCAAGTCCGATTGTGAGCACCTGAAGGTTTAGATTTTCTATTGATTTCTTTGATAGAATAATCCAGTACAGATTTGTTTATGTGGTTCGATAGGGATGGCCAGATGGGCCCCGAGTTGAGTCAGAGGTTCTTGATCACTCCTCGATCACTTCTTGATCTCTTGATCACGATTGTTAGTCGAGTCGAGTCACTATTTAAATATTTTACTTCTCAACTCAAGAAGCTACGAGGAAAATTCTAAAGGATTTGCAAATTGTAATGCAAAATGCAAATTGATTCTGAGTGCACCAAGTCGTTCAAGCACCGGATGATCTGGAATGCTTTATGGATTTCAGCTCAATGAAAATTGGATGCTGAATGGGAGATGACTTGCAATGGAAATCCGGCAACATCAATGGAACTCTATCTTCAATGGATTGAGAATCACTTCCGTTGCCAATTTGGAAAGAACGCCCAAAATGCTTTCGTTCAAGAATTGTGTGATTAATCTGATGGCTGGATGGTTTCATTCATTCATTCATTGAAAGAAGGATTTCTAAAGATGCAAGATTTCGCAAGATGCTTGACTTGAACAATTAATAAATGGAGATTTAGAAATATTGAATTGGATGGGGAGAATGATTCGGATAACGATTCTTGATCTTGTTCTTGATTTCTTCACTAGACTTTCTTCGATTCTGTTCCTGATTTCTTCAATAGATTTCTTCGATTCTCTTCTTGATTTCTTCGATTCTATTCTTGATTTTTTGACTAGATTTTTTCGATTCTGTTCTTGATTTCTTGGCTAGACTTTCTTTGAGTCCGTTGATGATTTCTTGACTAGGCTTTCCTCGATTCTGTTCTTGATTTCTTGGCTAGACTTTCTTTGAGTCTGTTGATGATTTCTTGACTAGGCTTTCATCGATTCTGTTCTTGATTTCTTGACTAGATTTCTTCGATTCTGTCCCTGATTTCTTCACTAGACTTTCTTCAATTCTCTTCTTGATTTCTTCAATAGATCTCTTCAATTCTCTTCTTGATTTCTTCAATAGATCTCTTCAATTCTCTTCTTGATTTCTTCAATAGATCTCTTCAATTCTCTTCTTGATTTCTTCAATAGATCTCTTCAATTCTCTTCTTGATTTCTTCACTAGACTTTCTTCGATTCTGTTCCTGATTTCTTGAATTCTATTCTACATTTAAGGCTTAGGAGTTTTGCTTGTGTATTTACCACCTTATTTGTGTGAATGTATATTTTCTAAATACCGTTAGTCCTCCAAAGAGTGGATGCAAAAATTTCGGCACTCCATTCTTTGGATCGAGCATCGCCGCCATCGTCATACAGAGAATAGCTGTGCCAACGATCTGAAATAGGATTTTGTGTACTTTGTGCTCAATAAACCTTTCTGTACTTATGTTTAGGGATTTCAAGCAATTTCAAGCGATTACAGAGCCTGTAATCTGTCCAGAGCTGAAGCTCCAGTCCATAGCTGGAGCTCCAGTCCAGAGGAGAGGATCCAAAATGGCCAGCAAAGCAAAAGTTGGATCTGGTTGGTTGGGTGTGAATGAGGATTGAGCAAAGGCAGGCTTGGCTTTGAAAGAAAGCAAACATGAAAGCCACCTGATCAAATAAAGCGCTCAGTTTTGTCGAATACGGTGCGATACAAGTGACGAAGAAGCACAGCGTTCCATTCGGGCCATCGATTTGTCGTCGACCTCCATCATAGAAATTGAGTGTTTCCAAATAGTCAAGATAAGCCGTAGCCGTCCCAACAAAGGCACCGAATATCTAAATTTTTTCAGTAAATCAGGATTCTTGACTTAAAGGGATATATAGCTGAAAGAAGATGGTAAGGACAGGAAATTTTGCAGGCAATTTTACAGGTAATTTGGCGCCTAGGGTAAGCCAAGTCAAAACTGAAGGATGGAAAAGTCGTCTTCTTTTAGGACGATGTTTAGTGGTGTTACCTGTATTGGAATGTAGGCTAACACTTGTTGTATCGAGGCTCGACCGAGGGACCAAAGCACCAATGTTACTGAGGGATTCGTTTGACCGCCTGGAATTGATCGTTCTAATTGATCTACCTATAGATCTACCTCTAGGTCTACCTCTAGGTCTACCTCTAGGTCTACCTTTAGATCTACCTTTAGATCTACCTTTAGATCTACCTTTAGATCTACCTTTGGGTCTACCTTTGGGTCTACCTATAGGTCTACCTATAGATCTATCTATAGATCTACCAATAGATCTACCTATAGATCTACCTACAGATCTACCAATAGATCTACCTACAGATCTACCAATAGATCTACCAATAGATCTACCTACAGATCTACCAATAGATCTACCTACAGATCTACCTACAGATCTACCTAATTGATCTACCTAATTGATCTACCTATAGATCTACCAATAGATCTACCAATAGATCTACCTACAGATCTACCTATAGATCTACCTAATTGATCTACCTAATTGATCTACCTATAGATCTATCTAATTGTTCTATCTAATGTCCTCTAATAGAACACCGTACAGTCGTGTAGTTTAACTTCTTTCTAGAAATTCAGTTCTTTCTCAGCTTCTAGATCTTTCACAACTAAACTTTTGATATCAAAAATACTAGATTCCAAGAGCTATCGTTTACGTAAACTCTAGCTTAAAGCAGTGAGAATTGGACGTTTAAAGTTCGACTACGCGACTGTACGCTTAGCATTATGGCGTTCTATTAGAGGAGTTTCCACCCTTTCCTCTCGATTATCGTAATTCTTTCTCTATTTTATCTATTTTATCTATTTTATCTATTTTATCCAATCAAATTGTATCATTTTATCGATTGTATCATTGTGAACTCTTACAGAAATTAAGCCAGTGGATAGATTGGATAATAGAGCCAAAAAATAGAGCCATAAAAAAGTGAATAGATTGGAATGATGAAAGCTTAAAAGATTACGGTAATTGGACTAAAATTTGACTAAAATTGGACATTTTAGAGAAACACATTTATTCTTCATCCACCCGATAAACCGATGCCGACCATTGTCGAGAACATGACCGCCATTCCCCAGCACAAATTCAGCGTCAGGAAATTCCCCTCCACTCCCTTGACGGCTTTGATTTGCACCGATGTGCCGACACCGATTAGCTGAATATCTTTGGCTTGTTTTTAAAGCTAAAGTTTGATACAAAGTCAATTTATCAATTCTAGAGCATTATGCAATAAGATCTAGCAAATTAGCTAAAAATTTCATTTAATTTATTTGTGAGATCAAAGATCAACTAAGAAAGGGTTAAAAACTCTCAACTAACAAGGAAAGGTCAACTGGCTGATCTCCACCATTCACAGAATTTCATGCTGATTCCAAATATATATTCCGTTTTTGCTTAAGGACAATCTATCAGAAGTTATAAGCGTTTAAAGTTTTTTTGAGGCTTTGAAATGTGATGGATCTTAGCAGCCTTTCTTTAGCGATTCTCATCTCCGAATTGCTTCTCTCAATTCGATAATTTCTCTCCGCTTTCTCACCGATTTTCTGTTTCGAAGCTGTGCTTTTCTCAGCATTCATCGATTGACTTCGATGCAAAATCTTTTCGTTCAATCGAATTTCGAAGTTCGAAGAATCGTTTCGAATCGAATCGAATTGATCTGTTCAATCGAAGGAGCTTTTGTTGATAGAAATCTCTGTTCTCTGATCAATGAGCTCTCCTCATGAGCTCTTGAAAATCCCAGACGAAGCTTTGTGGCCAGAGTCCAGTGCAGCTTTGGCCGAGTGGTACAGCATTCGTTTTCAGAGTTCGAGATTAGATAGATCTCACAAATTTGATCCTCACTTTGAACTATTCTTTTGCTTTTTTCAAGAATTTTTTGTGTTCAAAAACTAGGATTCTTTGTGCGCCGAAAAAACGAGAAAAATTCAAAGTGGGAATCGAATAGGTGACATTTCAGGCTTTCAAATGGTACCAAATAGAGTTTTCCATGCAAAGCAGGCGACCCGACACCCGAGTTGGGTGGGCCTCTTTTGCTGAGTTGGTTCTGATTTTCTTGGACTCGATTATCCAATCAAGCTCTATTTGGTATCATTTCTCGCTCTGAAAACGAACGCTGTACCAGTCGGCCAAAGCTGCACTGGACTGGGGCCGCATGGAGGCGGCTAAGACTGAAATGATCACACTTTTATAGTGCCTGTAGTACTAGACGTTAACCATGGGAACCTGTAGTACTAGACCCTGGAGTACTAGAAAGTGGGGATCGAATTTGCGAAGTCTCCCTCTGAAAACGAACGCTGTACCAGTCGGCCAAAGCTACTGGACTGAGACCGCAAGGAGGAGGCTAAGACTGAAATGAACTGAATGATCACACTTTTATAGTGCTAATAAAACTTTAGACGCTTATAACTTCTGATAGATTATCATTTAGCAAAAAAGGAATATATAGTCGGAATCAGCATGAAATTCTGCGAATTGTAGAGGTCGTATAACTCAACCAGTTCACTTTCCCTTGTAAGAAAGTCAAGAGTTAAAATTGAAATCATTATTTAAAGATTATAAGACTTATATGAAGCTTATGAGACTAAAAACTAGCACTAGAAGAACTTTAAAGAACAGAACAAGAGTGTCGCGCTTGAAAATCGTGTGTCTAGTCATTTTAAGCAATGAAGTACACTAGAAATAGGTAAAGATTTAGCTATAGCATAGCCCTAGTGTGCCAGAGAGGATGCTTTTTCATTCGAGTATCAAATCCATCAACTCTGGACTCACTAATCGTCACTCTATGCACTTACCAAAAAGAGAAATGAGCAAACGAATTCGCATAGACATTCTCTCGCCAAGCGATTTCTCAATCGCAGAAAATCGGGGAAATATTTTGAGGTTTTGAAGGCAAAATGATCATCGTTTTCCTTGAGTTTTGATGATTTTGAAGAATCAATTCTTCTCAATCGTTCCTCCATATTCAATGATCAAATATGAGGCTGAGTTGAGGCTCAACCCATTCGTTTTCTTTTCCAAACACTCTAAAGTACATTTAAGTACAAATTGAACGTTAGAATCTTGATTTAAGGACAAAATGAAAGCTAAAATCTTGATTTAAGTACAAGTAAACGTTAGAATCTTGATCTACGAACAAAATGAAAGCTAAAATCTTGATTTAAGTACAAACGGAACGTTAGAATCTTGGTTTAAGTACAAACTAAACGTTAGAATCTTGATTTAAGAACAAAGTGAAAGCTAAAATCTTGCTTTAAGTACAAATTAAACATTAAAACCTTGAGTTAAACACAAAATGAAAGCTAAAATCTTGCTTTAAGTACAAGTTAAACGTTAGAATCTTGATCTACGAACAAAATGAAAGCTAAAATCTGGATTTAAATACAAGTTGAACATTAAAATCTTGATCTACAAACAAAATGAAAGCTAAAATCTTGCTCTAAGTACAAATTAAACATTAAAATCTCGATCTAGACACAAAATTGTTGATTTTCTGGTAATTGCTGAATAAATTCTTATTATTAGTAAAGATTTCTATGAAAATTTGTGAACAATTTGTATACTCAACAAGTAAGATAGATTTCTATGTCTATAGAGCAAATTATCCTGCGCAAATGCCAGATTTAGGATCGGATTACTCTTCTCGAATGAGAAGAATACATTATCAGGAAAAATAACTCAAAAAAGCAAAGGCAAAGCTATGAACAAGTAAATCTGTGTAATATTTTAATAATTAGCTTCTGGAAAGATCTAAAACCTGAATCATTTGATCAGTTGATCAGCTGAAAATTCGAAAAATATTGAAACACTTTCTTTTTAGAGGAAAAAATGTTTTTTTTCTTTCTGGCCATCTTTCTTTCTCTCTTTCTTTCTTTCTCTCTTTCTTTCTTTCTCTCTTTCTCTCTCTCTTTCTCTCTCTCTCTCTCTCTCTCTCTCTCTCTCTCTCTCTCTCTCTCTTTCTCTCTCTTTCTTTCTTTCTCCATTCTTTCCGTTCACTCATTGTTTGAAAGACGTTATTTATAATTCGTTTTATTTTTTAAAACATTGATTCATCCAATTTTAAGAATGATTTGTCTATTCTTATTCTTAAGGATCTAAATTACTCTTCCAATTTCTCGGCAATTTCCAGTGTACAAGAAAGTACAATAAGTTCGCGTGAAAAAGTTTGTCGAAGCAAGACAGAATGAAATGAAATGTCAAGAGGATCTCCATAAAATTCTGCTCTTGTTAACAAATCTACTTCCCACTTTCATATAGTCGGCTTTGAAGGCTCATAACTTTGTTTAGAGACAATAATATTGTTAAATTTTTATCTAGTTTTAAAAAAAAACACCAAGCTTTTAAATGAGACAAAATAGAAGTTGATTGGATTGCAGAATCCGTAGAAAATCATTCTCAAAGTAAAAGCAAAATCTGTGTAAATGCGAGATGTTCTTTGTGCGCGAGCACAATCGTTCTCCATCTGGTAAACCGGCTTGGATAGGGTGGTTCCATTTTGGAAACCGTCAACAATTTCTAAACTGATTAAAACTGAGCTTCTTTCTTCTCACAGACTCCATTCTTTCTCCATTCTTTCTTCTTTCTCCATTCTTTCTTTCTCCTTTCTTTCTCCTTTCTTTCTCCATTCTTTCTCCATTCTTTCTCCTTTCTTCTCCAGTCACGACGAGCTGATGTCATCATTGTCATCGATGCCAACATCGTCGAAAAGGTTTTTAGAGTTTAATCTAGATATTATTATCTGAAAGGCTATAGTAGGTTGCATTTGGAAGCTACAGTACCCAGTAGCTATTGTAATTGCTTTATAGAACCGGGACATTTACGTTGAAAGGCTACTGTGGCTTGAGATTACAGTATTCAATAAATTCTGTAGTTTATAGCTCTTGTTCCCCTTTCCCACTAAATCTCTTCTAGTTTTGTGGGAAATTTCAAAAAAAGGAGCAGCTACGAAAGAATCTACGCAGAAAAAGGAGCACGGCTTTGTAAATTTCAGTCTCATTTGTTTGAATTTTCGGCTCTTGCTTAGTTTTCGGGCATTTTGAATGAGTCCTCCTTTCAAAGCCTATAACTTTGTCCAGAGATAATATTATTCTTAACTTTTTATGTCATTGTAAAGAGGAGATTTCAGGCTTTCGAATGATACCAAATAGAGCTTGATTTGACTAAAAGACCATAAAGAAAATTGATTTGAAAATTTTAGCATTTTTACCAAGCATTTTCAATGGATAGCCGCGCTTTAAGGGCTCATAACTTTGCCTAAACATAATATTATTCTTAACTTTTTATGTCATTGTAAAGAGGATATTTCAGGCTTTCAAATGGTACCAAATAGAGCTTGATTGGCTTTTTCATTTCCATGCAAAGCAGGCGACACGACACCCAAGTTGGGTGGGGCCTCTTTTGCTGAGCTGGCCCTGATTTCCTTGGACTCGATTATTCAATCAAGCTCTATTTGGTATCATTTAAAAGCCTGAAATGTTATCTATACAAAGTTTTGAATGATCTATGTCTCTCTAATCACCAAAACTCAAAACCGATGCATGTTTGACGTTTCAAGTAACAAAATAAAAAGAAATAACAAAAATTTAAATAAATCTTTATGGAAAAGTGATCGAAAGGTCAAAACGCATCTTTTCTAGTGCACAGAAAAGTCCTTCCATTCAACGATTTTCTAACTTCTCACATTGATAATACTTTGTCGTCGAATGAAACTGAGACTGATCGATGAGGAGCTTTTTCTGAAATTAGTAGAGATGCTTTATCTTTATCACAACCAAATACTTTATCTTTTCATTATAGTAATAATAGAGTGAAAGCATTGGCAAGGAGAAGTAAGGGATTGAATTTCTGGATTCCGGAGAGGTGATTGAACCATGGCCTTTTGCTTCCCTTGCTTGTTCGTCTATTGCTCTAACCATTGAGATATTCGGTGCTTTGCCTTGCGAATGGAAAGAAGGAAAGACAAAGGAAGAAGAGAGAAAGAAAGGAAGAGAGAAAGAAAGGAAGAGAGAAAGAAAGGAGGAAAGAAAGAAGGAAAGATTTTCTCTTTTTCCCTCACTTTTCACGAAAAAAGTCTCCTGAATGAGTGAAGAAAGATGTCTCTTGTAGACAGAGCAATTCAAATAGGCTATCGCTGAAGCAGTTCCCTGGAAACAAGAGAGCAAGATCAACCAGAAGTTCAGAACTAAAAAGAAATTCTGTACACTAAAAGCGTTGTGTTTACAAGAATCACAAAGTACAGCCAAAAAGTAAGATTTACCAGCTAAATGCTCATTCCCGGACGCTAAAATACCCATAAATCCAAGCATTGGCACAGTTTCTAAGGAGAAAAAGATGGCTATCTAAAAAGATCATATCAAAATACAGTACACAGTACACAGTACACCGTACACAGTACACCGTACACAGTACACAGTACACCGTACACAGTACACCGTACACAGTACACAGTCCACCGTACACAGTACACAGTACACAGTACACAGTACACCGTACTTTACAGTACGTTAAAGCTAAATAACTTTACAAGAAGTTATTTAGCTTTAACGCTAGACTCAAGCCTTGTACTTTGTGCTTAAAAACGCGCGCTTTCTAGCGCACTTCTCTTTTCAATCTGCTAGAAAGCGCGCACCAATGGGAGTACAAAGTACACAGGTGTTCTAATGATAATCTAAAGACTACTGTAACTTGTAAAACTTTTGAAATCTAATCTAACGAAATAAATCGAATCAAACCTGTAAATAAACTTGTTTCAGCCATTCCTTTTGCATTTTTAACGTCTTTTGACTCATGAATTTCTCAAGAGTCTTCAGGATTGTTAAAGTTGAGAAAATCAGAGCTAAAACTAGATAAAGTTGAGAAAATCAGAGCTAAAACTAGATAAAGTTGAGAAAATTAGAGCTAAAACTCAATAAAAACTACTACCAATATACAAAACTTACAGAAAAACACGAAAATATAGACAAATATTAAAGACGTAAAGAAAAAAAGACTCCGATAGTTGAGGGAATTGTCGATTGCGGAACTGCTTGGCTGGTGAAAGAATGGAGACAAATAGGGATACTTCTGAAAAAAAAACCCCTTCTCGAAAACGTGGAAATTTCCTATCGATTAATGTAACCTTGAATAGCGCGAGGCAATTGTGCGCTCTTTCCCTGTTGCTAGGAGGAAAAAGCGGCGTCTGGCACACTGCCCCCGGATAGGCACCGCCGGGAAGCCCCCTCCAGCCGGTTTAATTACCCAAGTTTTGGGTAATTGTTGTTGTTGTTATTATTATTATTATTGTTTTTATTATTTTTTTTATTATTGTTTTTATTATTGTTTTTATTATTATTATTATTATTATTATTATTATTATTATTATTATTATATTATTATTGTTTTTATTATTGTTTTTATATTATTATTGTTTTTATATTATTATTTTTTTTTAAAATAATTACCCAAGTTTGAGATATGCAAATGCCGTTAAAAATGCCCAACATGACGGTGAAAAAGTTGATGAATGTACGCCATCCGTTTCATCCGTTGTCGCCGCCACTCGAACCCACCAAGCTGCCACTTCTCCAGGAGGACGTTGCCTTAGCGAAAACACTCTCTTCCGACTATCATCTAGTTGTCGAGGGGCTCCCAGAACCCAATATACACTCCTCTCTGTCACCATACTTAAGAAGGGCAGCCGATCGCTTCGTTCTGGACTCAATATTGGCCGGCTATGGAATGGATGCTACGATTCTTCAATCTTATCGAATGGGCATCTTTTCTCTGCAACATCCTCGTCCAATAAAAGTGATTTTTGCTTCTTCTCACGGTGCCTCCAACTTATTGTCTTCTTTTCGCCTTCAACGCAAAGATCTTTTACCTTGGTACGCTCGTCTAATCAATGTTCGTCGTTCTGATCCTTTTCGTCCAAAAGGAATCGACATTATTGAAGACTCCGTTAAAGAAGCTAAGCAACTCAAAATTGCTCCAACTCGGAACTCAAAGGACGTCGAGATGGCCGTTATAGGAGTTGTAGAGGATACAAGACCATTAAATATAATTGCGAAGCCACCGCCTGTTACTTTGCCTAAACCAAGAGGTCGACCACCAAAACGGGCAAATGCCGTCATCATCTCCCCTAATGGAACACACCTGAAGAAAGCCCACTCGATGTCAGACCTGAACGGACCAGTTGCCAAGAGTTTTCGCAACTCAAAGGATGTATTTGCCCATCCTTCTCAACGAAGAAACGAAAAAACTCGTAAGAAGTTGCATAAAAAGGTTCCAAGCTCCCAACCGACGCCAAATGATCTCATTTTCCCCGAAGAAGTCTGATTTTAGTTGTTCCTCAATCCTACCTAGTGTTTATCTTACAAATGCCCACAGTCTAGCCTCCAATAGCAATAATCGACTTAATTTCTTTCAAACTATGACTCGATCAAAGACTTTCTCTTTTATTGCTATTACAGAGACGTGGCTAAATGAGTCTTTTGTTTCCTCTATTCTTGATCCCGGAAATAATTATGCTATTTTACGTTGTGACAGATCTGACTCTAGCAAATCTCATGGTGGTGGTACCATTTTCTTGCTCCTAAAGTCCTTCCAACATGCGCTAATTTACTCTGCATCTAAGTTTAATTGCGAAATTCTTATAGTCGATGTTTTCCTTGCCAAAAAGACCCGTTTTTTCGTTATTTATCGTCCCCCTGATGTTAACTTAGCTGACACATCTTCTCTTTTCGACCACCTATCGACATTCTTAGTTTCTGCTGAGCTAAACATTCTACTTGGTGATTTTAATTTTCGTGTAAATTTTTCCAGCGGTTCTTTTGCATTTGACAAATACCATCACCCCACTATTTCACTTGAAAGTTTCCTCATTACGAGCTCTCTTTTTATTTTAAATGCATTTCCTACTTTCTGTCGCTCTTCTTCTATTTTAGATATCGTGATTTCTGACTTTCCGGATGACGTAATCGACCTGCAAAGTTTGCCTCCTCTTCCGGGTTCTGACCACATCTCAATCAGCTTCAAAATCAATTCTAACTGCTCTACTCCAAAGAAAAGGGATCAAGTCTGTTTGCATTTTGATTTTGATCATGTCAAAGCGGCGGTGTGTTTACTAAATTCTCTAAATCAATCAGATTTTTGTGCCTCCTCAAATTCTAAATTGGAATTGGCATGTGCTCATTCTTCTTTAAAGACCCCGCCGCACATTTTAAGAGCTAAAAGTCGTTTAGCCTGTTTTTACCGTCGCTCCTACTTTTCTCAACCCTCAGATGATCCTTTAGTTAATAAGGAACTAAATAAGCTTTCCAAATATTGTCGGAAATTTGAGGAAAATATAGAAAGAAACGCCATTAAATCCAAAAAAGGGAATTCTTTTTACACGTATATAAACTCTAAATCTAAGGACCCTAACCAAATTCCAAATTCCTTTCTTGATCCATCCAATCCTAGTGAAACACTTTTAGAGCCCGGAAAAATTGTGCTTGAGTTTGGTAATTTCTTTCACAGTGTTTACAATAACCAGATACCTGATGAACCATTCCCGGCTTTTCCACGTAAAGCCATTCCACCACAAGCCGATTTCCTCCTTACAGCTAGTGACATTGAAGCTGCTTTCAAAAAGTTGAGACCCAAAAAATCGCCTAGTCCAGACAAAATTACTGCTTTTGTTCTAAAGAAACTACATAAAGTGCTAGTCATTCCTCTTGCCAAATTCTTCAATAAAATTTTGCTTGTCTCTGCGGTCCCAACTTACTGGAAACAATCTCTTGTGTCGCCTCTTCTCAAAAAAATCGCCCAAAAATATATTCGCTAATTATCGTCCCATTTCTTTAACTTCTCCTGTGTCAAAACTTTTGAAATTATCATAAAAGATAAAATTTTTCAACATTTTGATAAGTACAATCTTTTTTCTGACCAGCAGTTTGGCTTCCTTAAAAATAAATCCACAACTTCTCAACTTATTTTAGCCTATAAGTCCTTTTTCAAAGCTTTAGATCAAAAAGAAAAATCTATTTCCCAACTAGAAGCCGTCTTCTTAGATTTTGCAAAAGCTTTTGATTCTGTTCCCATTGATCTTCTAATTCACAAACTGCATGCTTACCGGCTCAGCCCACTTGTAATTTCGGTCGTCAAAAATTTTCTTTCTCAGCGGACTTTCAAAGTAATTCTAAATAATGTTCTTTCTCCCTCTTTTGATTGTCCTAGCGGGGTTCCTCAGGGTAGTATTCTTGGTCCTCTTTTGTTTACTATCTATATTAATGACCTGCCTAACTGTCCTTTCAAATCAAAAAATTCCTCCATCTGGCTCTATGCCGATGATGTTAAGCTTACGTTCAAAATTCCCATCGGAACTCAAGTAGCTTCGCTTGCGGCTTTTTTGAACTAAAAACTTTACAGCATCGTCGCTTTGTCATTGATTTAGTCGAAACTTTCAAAATCCTCCGTTGTAAACAGATTAGCCCTTTGTTTATAGAACATCATCGGCATAGAGCCAGATGGAGGAATTTTTTGATTTGAAAGGACAGTTAGGCAGGTCATTAATATAGATAGTAAACAAAAGAGGACCAAGAATACTACCCTGAGGAACCCCGCTAGGACAATCAAAAGAGGGAGAAAGAACATTATTTAGAATTACTTTGAAAGTCCGCTGAGAAAGAAAATTTTTGACGACCGAAATTACAAGTGGGCTGAGCCGGTAAGCATGCAGTTTGTGAATTAGAAGATCAATGGGAACAGAATCAAAAGCTTTTGCAAAATCTAAAAAGACTTTTAATTGTTTTTATATTATTATTGTTTTTATATTATTATTGTTTTTATATTATTATTGTTTTTATTATTATTATATTATTATTGTTTTTATTATTATTATATTATTATTGTTTTTATTATTGTTTTTATATTATTGTTTTTATATTATTGTTTTTATTATTGTTTTTATATTATTATTATTATTATTATTATTATTATTACCGGCTTAATTATCCAAGTTTTGGGTTTTCAATGTTCACTTAATTTCGATAAAGAAAAGTCATAGTTTTGATTGAATAACAATAACAGGCTTACAATTAAAGTTCCATCCTAGTTCAGAGAAATAAGAGAATTCAACGATTTCTCGTGGGCCAGAAGGCAAACGATTGAGGGAACACAAAGAACGCCTACTTGCCGCCTACAAATCTAACAAATGTCTCTTTACTTACTATAGCCAAAAATTGGCAATAATTGTAAAATGATTGCTTTCAGAGCCAGCTCTAGGCCTAAATCCGCAAAATTTTTAAGAATTTAATTTTTTTTCGTTTAAATCACTGACATTTTCGATTTTCCCCAGCGCTGCGTGATAATCGTAGCTCCACAGCAGTACAGCCATTGTCAAACTGCAGAAAGCGGGCAGGGAATAGCACGAGTAAATCCATAAATCTCTTGCACTGAAAAGGAAAATGCTGTAGAAAAATGGACTTGAACAAAATTCCCTACACTTTTCCCAATTTCAACCAATGATTGGCGGGCAAAATGGCTTGGTGACGCGAGAAAACGATTAGTTGAACCATTGAGAGCATCGAAAATAAAACGAAGCTTGAAAAGACCTAGAAATGAAAGAAAATCTTAGCCAAAGTGCTGGCTAAAGTCTTTTCTTGATTCGTTTTCGAAAAAGCACCTATTCTAGACAAACTACCGTAATCTCGTCGTCAGTTTTCATTCAATTAGCTCGATTTTCATATCATTTAACCTTAAGAGCCTTAAGAGTCCTTCATTAAATTTGACCAAATTGAGCTGATTTTTTGACATTTTGACACAAAACTGACATTTTGTTTACGTTAATTTCGAAAATAGATGCTTTTTAGGAAGATTTTGGGACATTTTATTGCCCCGCCCCTTTTCCCATTGCCAATCCAACTTTAAACTCAAATATCTTGGGATTCGGCTGTTCAATATAAATAGTTTTTATATCAATCGAAAGAGAAAGACTTGACGCATCTAATGATATTAAAAATTTTGAAATTGGACAACCCAACACCAAGATATTTGAGTTTAAAGTTAGATTACCAATGGGACAAAGGGGCGGGGCGACGGACCTTTTATACGCGCCCCGCCCCTTGGCATTGGGACATTGGCAAATTGGCATTGGCAATCGAACTTAGCATTGGTACATGGTACATTGGCAATCGAATTTAGCATTGGTACATTGACAATCGAACTTTAAGCTCAAATATCTTTGATTCGCTGTTCAATATAAATAGTTTTTATACCAATCGAAAGAGAAAGCCTTGACGCATCTAATGATACCAAAGAATATGGAAATTTGATAGCTCAACCTCAAGAGATTTGAGTTTAAAGTTAGATTGTTAATGGGAAAAGGGGCGGGGCAATCAAATCTCCCAAAATCTTCCTAAAAGGTACCTATCTTCGAAAATACCGTAATCAAACTGTGATTTTACATTCGTTTACACTAACAAATGTCAAATAATCGATTAGCTTTAGGCTTTTGCCGATAATTTACCATTTGTCAATAGATTCCGATTCCTAACTCGGTGAATGGCCCAACCGTGAATCATCTACATTCATTTTATGTATCGAGGATCTTATTTTGTAGCATAGTTCAACGGACTAGCGTCTACGCATCATCTACAGAGTACTGCAGCTCTACAGCTACAGCTCTACAGCTACAGCTCTACAGCTACAGTACTCTGTAGAGCTGGTCGAGAACTATAGTCCAGTAATGAAAGCACAGAACTGATAGAGAATCCAGTATTCTGACTATAGTCCAGAGTACTATAGCTTACATTATCAAATGTCCAATAATCGATTAGCTTTAGGCCTTTCTCTATAATTTACCATTTGCCAATAGATTCCGATTCCAAACTCGGTGAATAGCCCAACCGTGAAACCGACAAATGCTGGGAGTCCAAGAAACGGAAATTCACAATAAATGATACCGAATTCGAAAATCATTTGAAAGTTCTGAAAATTTCAAAATTTCCTATCTAGCACCTACAGTGGCAAACAATTAAATAGAATTAAATAGACAATTAAATAGAACCGATGCTCCATTTGCACAAAGACCACGAATTTTCCATCCACTCAAAAAGACATCAACAGCTATTTTTTTGATGTTATCTTAGCTTTCGATTGTCACCACTTTTGACCAAACATAATTTAGTATTTATTAGTAAAACCTAAACTACCAAGTTACAGAGAAAGAGCTTTCAGCCAAGAGCGGTGCCAATCGAAAGCTAAGATAACATCAAAAAGAATAGCTGTTGATGTCTTTTTGAGCGGATGTGTAAATAATGGAAAATTCGTGGTCTTTGTGCAAATGGAGCATCGGTTCTATTTAATTGTCCGCCACTGTAAGTCAATGTTGCTGCAAATGTTGCTTTAACAATTGAAAGTACTGTAAAGATCGAGTTTCGTCAACCAGATCTTTCAATCTTGTTCTTTGTGCTCTCAAAAAAACATAAACAAACCCCATCTGGCGCAGTGAGCTTCGCATTTTTTTTTTGCAGGATAATGTACTTGTAATTGTACTTGGCTTTGTGTACTTTTTGCTCGAAATGGGTAAACACACACCCTCTGGTGCACGAGATTCTTTAGTTTATTGTTTGATGAGGACCAGTACGCTAGGAAGGGTAGGTTTCCAATTTTTGAGCACAAAGTACACTTGAAGCCATTGCTTGAAAGTTTTTGTACTTTTTGCGCAAAGATGGGTAAACACAAATGCTCTGGCGCACTGGATTCTTGATTTTTCACGAAAGCTACTTACGTGTAACGTTAAAATATGCCATCGGAAATTGCCCAAGCTTTTCGGCGTAGCAAAAACGATTAAATAGACGACAAGCAAGTTGAGGAGCAAAGTGGAAACTTGAATTTGAATGCTAATTTGGATGCTAATTGGATGCTAATTTGGATGCTAATTTGGATGCAATCCATGCAATGAATCTGAATTTAAACCCGAATATAAATCTGAATCTAAATCCGAATTTGAATCCGAATATAAATCTGAAAGTAAATCCGAATTTAAACCCGAATATAAATCCGAATTTGAATCTGAATGTAAATCTGAGTGTAAATCCGAATTTAAATCCAATTCAAACCCGAATGTAAACCCGAATTTAAATCCGAATTTAAATCCGAATATAAATCCGAATATAAATCCCAATCTAAATCCCAATCTAAATCCCAATTTAAACCCGAATGTAAACCCGAATGTAAACCCGAATTTAAATCCCAATCTAAATCCCAATCTAAATCCCAATCTAAATCCCAATCTAAATCCGAATTTCAAATCTTTTAAAAAAAAAACCCACCCGCAAACACTCTGACATACCCAAGGACACTCATCGAATAGCTAAAGTCAATCATTACTGGAAATCATTACTGGAAATCATGTTTTCGAATAAAACTGTACAATTAAATCTGGATTTTTGAATCTAGACATATTTATGGGCAAACAGGTGAATTTTTGGCTTCTTTAATGAGCCTTGAGCTTTTAATTTTAGCTTGAAAAGTGAGACAGCTGTAAAGTTAGCTGTTTGGTGTCAAAAACATTGTACAGGGTGACCAGAAATAACGTTGCGGCATTTTCGGCAGCCTAAAATCCTCAAAGTTTCAATTTTTCGAGACGAATTTATTTTTAACCTATTCTCTGTGATTGTTTTTATTAGTTTCTTTATTGTTTTAGTTTGTTTCAAGTCTATTCATTTTTTTATAGGATGACAAACAAGGGATATCCCATTCTGGAGCTTCATCGTCAAGGTCAATGCGCGATTGCTACGTGTTTCTCATCAGCTCGTCTCAAAAGCGATTAAGCCATACAAGGAGCTTGGCAACGATGGAGATCGTCCAGGAAGAGGCAGAAAAAGAACAGTCAACACCTCCAGAAATCGCAAAGTGATTTAGAAGCACGAGGCCCAAAATTCACAGGTCTCAATGAGAAAGATCCCTCGACAGATCGCTCGCGAATCGGTTCGACTTATGGCCAAAAATGAGCTCAATCTTCACCCTTACAAGCTCAAGCAAGGGCAACAACTCGACGACGACAACAAACGAATTCGACTCGAAAGATGTCGAGAGCTTCTTAAGCGGGCCGCAACTCCACACTGGGAGTGAATCCTGTTTTCTGACGAGAAGCTCTTCTCGGTGGAGCAAAGCTACAACCACCAAAACGATCGGATTTGGTCAACGTCCTCTCCAGGCAGCTCTGCGATTGTTCAACACCGACAAAATCCCAAATCGGTCATAGTATGGGCCGGAATCTGCGCAACCGGCAAAATTCCTCTCATTTCATCGACTCTGGGGTAAAAATCAATAAGGATGTGTACCAAAAAAAGATTCTTTAGGATGTTTTGCTTCCATGGGCTCAACAGCATTTTGGTAACGGATTTTGGACCTTCCAACAAGACTGGGTTTTGAAATCGGTGAAAAACTTGCTAGTGATAGTGCTAGTGATTCTTGTATAAAACATGAACACTTTATTCAATCAATAAATAAAGAATAAAGAAATAATAAAGAAATAATAAATACATAATAAATAAATAATAAAGAAATAATAAATAAAGAATTATATCACAAATTTGAATGGCAATTTCTTAGCTCTTTATTCTTTGAGCTTTTTTCTGAGATCCTCCTTGATGTCGTCGATCGATTCGGTAATTCGTCGGCGTTGTGCATCGGTGGTGTGACCAGTTAGCGACTGAAATTGAAATTTTATTTATTCAGCATCTTATTTTGTAGCATAGTTCAACGGACTAGCATCTACGCATCATCTACAGAGTACTGTAGCACTACAGCTACAGCTCTACAGCTACAGCTCTACAGCTACAGCTCTACAGCTACAGCTCTACAGCTACAGCTCTATAGCTACAGCTCTACAGCTACAGCTCTACAGCTACAGTACTCTCTAGAACTGGTACAGAACTATAGTCCAGTACTGAAAGCACAGAATTGATAGAGAATCCAGTACTATAGAATCCAGTACTATAGACTACTATAGGCCAGTACAATAGCTAGATCTGAGACTGTAGCTGTTGCCTACATGCAGCTAACTAGTACTATGAAGCTAAAGATAGCTGTAGACAAGTTAGACAAGTGGTCGCGTTTGTTCCCATGAAAAATTACGTTCCTTTTCGCATTTAATTTGCGTCACTTTTTCGTCTCATTCTATCCCCTCAAATTTCTTTTTTCGTTTTTCAGCAGGAAGCTGGTCTTCTCACCCTTTTGAATGTTTTCTATGACAATGCATTTGTTTTCTATGACAAACCTGAAAAGTTTGAGGGGGGCCATTACCTTTGAGCGGCACTGTATTTTGCACTTACTGTGGAATCTTTCCAGGATTTGATGTTTCTCTTCACTGTTTTGTAATATTAGGTTGATGCATAAGTCTTTTCGTTCCTTTTCGTCTGCCGTTTCAAGCCAACAAATGCACCAATTAAACTACGGTTGATTTCATTAGAAAAAGCAATTATTTTTCTGCAAAATAACATTAAGTTGTTGATCTGGTTCTTGATCTAGTTCTCCAGCTAGTTCTTCATCTAGTTGTTAATCTAGTTCTTCATCTAGTTCATCTAGTTCTCCATCTAGTTCTTCATCTAGTTGTTGATCTGGTTCTTCATCTAGTTCATCTAGTTCTTCATCAAATTCTTCATCAAGTTCCCCATCTAGTTCTTCATCTAGTTCATCTAGTTCCTCATCTAGTTCATCTAATAGGTTGATGCATAAGTCTTTTCGTTCCTTTTCGTCTGCCGTTTCAAGCCAACAAATGCACGAATTAAACTACGGTTGATTTCATTAGAAAAAGCAATTATTTTTCTGCAAAATAACATTAAAACGGGTTTAAAAATATTGAATGCCTGGATTTTCTTGAGAGTATGAAGTCGGGTAGTCAAAAAGGGCTAACTCGATGATGCGGTTTAGACACCTTAGCTAAAGAAAACCTATCTTCGTGTCAATAGATAAAAGATAGAGAAAAAAAACGTTTGATATTTCGCCAAAATTTCAGAGAAATTCATTCAGCCAATTTTTCCGTAGAGTTTTTTATAGATTTTTACGAAAAAGGCGTTTTTCACTCTCGAATTTGCTTGAAAGTGAACCGAAATTCATTTAAAAAGATGCAAATTGAACAAAAAAACACTTTTTTTATAGAGCGAACTATAGATTAATTGGTGAATTTGTTACTTTTTAACAGAAGTACGAAAAAAACGAAAACACTTATGCATCAACCTATTAGATATCGTTGCCTTTTCTTTCTTAAACGTAAAATTAAAATTTACTCCTTTAAACTACTCTTAAGGTTCGAAATTCTGTTTAGATAGTTGGAACATTATGGAAAGTATTTGCTAATACCGTAAAGGGTTTACGGAATTTGTGTTGCCATCAACGAAGCGTCAATCCTCTACTTGTGTCACGAGCGTTAATCTTTCTCTTCTTCCTTTCTTTCTCTTCTTTCTCTTCTTCCTTTCTTTCTTTCTTTCTTCCTTTCTTTCTTTCTTTCTTCCTTTCTTTCTTTCTCTTCCCCCATATATTTCCTCTTTCTCTTGGCAAATCAAGGTACCGGATGGCTCAGTGGTTAGATCAAGAAATAAGGAAAGAAAGCAAAAGGTCAATGGTTGAATCCCATCTCCGAAAATAACTAAAGCACTAGTACCTTTCACTGCCAGCTACAGTAAAGTAAGTGCGAAATAGCTTTGCGAAATAGCCTAGCTTTCCAGGCATTTCCTAGACTCACTTTTTTCAATCGATGAATCTCCGCATATGACTCGGGCACATTGTGAAAGAGTCGAATGAATTTGCTGCCGCTTGTCGCCACCATTTGTCCGTTTGGAGAGATTTGCACGCGCGTGATCGGCTCTTCTTGAACGTCAAGCACTGAAAAAAAAGAGCAATTGGTTTTTCTAAAAATAAAAAAAGTAAAAAGTACTAGTTGGTGAAAGTACTAGTACTAAAAAGTACTAAAAAGGTACTGAAAAGTACTGAAAAGTACTAAAAAGTACTAAAAAGGTACTAAAAAGTACTAAAAAGGTACTAAAAAGTACTAAAAAGTACTAAAAAGTACTAGCTTGATAAAAAAGTACTAGCTGATGCTTAACACCATTTCTACAGCACTCACTTGGCTCAAAATCTTCATCGATAGTGGAAATTTTCAGCGTTTTGCCAATGGCCATTGCGAAAGATCCACCTAAAATTTGTATTTAAAGCCGTAATTTTGGTTTTCAAACCAGATGGAGACATATCGAGATGGACTTTTTTGGCGCCTTTCAACTCAAGCCATTCACCACTAAATGGATACAAGTTTAGAAGGGAAAGGCTGTTGGATGTGGACAAAAGCTATAGACCATTAAACGCAGAGTTTCACGCTGATTCCGAATCTGTTTTCCGTTTTTGACCCTAGCAAAAGTAGCTTTCTATCAAAAGTTATCGGTGTTTAAATTTTTTGAGGGGAAAAGCGAAGATTTAGCTGCGAATTTCATTACTGTGGATGGATGGATTACAACGATGGATTACAACGACAAGGGGATGAGAATGCGATGGATTACAAACGACAAGGGGATGAGAATTGAAATGCGGTGGCTGATATTAGTGATTTATTGGCAATAAAGTAATGAAGGCAAATTCAACTTTAAAAAGCAAAAGAACCAAATGAACCAAAAGATCAAGCTAAAAAAGGGAAAACCAACAGTAGAATATGGACAAATGAGCTCTAAACCTAAAGGATAACTCTAAAGCTCTAAACCAAATTTCAACCTTTCAATTCAAGCCATTCACCGCTAAATGGATACAAGTTTAGAAGGGAAACGCTGTTGGATGTGGACAAAAGCTATAGGCCATTAAACGCAGAGTTTCACGCTGATTCCGAATCTGTTTTCCGTTTTTGACTCTATCAAAAGTAGCTCTCTATCAAAAGTTATCGGTGTTTAAAGTTTTAAGGGGAAAAGCGAAGATTTAGCTGCGAATGCCTTTATAACGGTTTCCTCACGGATGTCCAGGGTGACTGGATGGTGTAGTGGATAAAAGGCTCTCATACGAGATGCGGGGTTCAGCTTTTGCTCGAGTTCGATCCCTTTTTTGTATTTTATGATGAACAAGAACAAATTTCAAGTGTTCAAGTGGTCGATGGGTTATTTCATTTGGCTTTTCCCTTGTTAGCTAATGTTATTATGTAACTTCTCTACAGTAATACCCTAGAGTAATGCTCTACAGTAATACTCTACAGTAAAACCTACAGTTATAGATTATTAGACGAATTTTCCTTACTAACCTCGCGATTTCTTTTGCATCTTCGCCTTGCGAGAATCGAATATCCGTATTGTAGACCTAAAAGATCGATTTTTACTTATTCTATTCTT